TCTTTTGACTGCATGAACTCGTCTTTCTCTCCCTCCTTCCCTTCCTTCCCTACATTCATAAGTAGAGATTAAGACACGGAGAGCAGCTTTTTTTTTTTTTCGGTCCTGCTTCTTTCTCGGGATCCTTCCCTATCAGAGTGAAGTGGACTGTGTCTTTGCCTGAGAGCTGCTTAATACGTGGAGGCGACGAGCTCAACCCGACTCCCAGCCTGAGTCACAGAGAAATGGATAAAGTGACAAGAGTCCCTGATGGAAACGGCTTTGTTGTACAATGTAGGGTGAAAAAAGTAAAAAAAAAAAAAAAAAATTTAAAAAAACATACTCCATGACGTACAAGGTCTGACATTTCATTTCTTAGGCGGCTCTGCGGATGATTCAGCATGGGAGTATTAGTTTTAGGCACAAGCAAACAACAATTTCATACAGATAGCGGCACTGCGGGCTGCGCCTTCATCTGAACGTGCTGTAGTGTATGAAAACAGAAAACTTATTTCCAGGCAAAATGGGCCAAATAAACGCATTTGTTCTGCTCGATGTGTGTACAAATGCCCTGAAGGAAAAGATCTTAAACAGAAAGACCGAATGTCTTTTAGAATTTTTAGATGTAAGGAGAAAATACACTTGTTGCAGTAAAGGCTGAAGGAAAAATGTGGAATTTAGACACAGGTTCCTCTTTACTCCCAATGGAATACAACTTCCAATCAATGCTGGGCTTTCAAATATTTCAAACTACTATTTTAAATGCATCATGACACACAAGACCTGTTTGATATGCAAAATAATGTCTGATTTATTGATGCACATATTTGACACGACCATTCCAGGAGTGTTGCGTTGATTTGTTAATGCATATTTTGAGAAATCATTTAATCTCCGATGGCAACCACTCAGCTGTGGAAAACACCTGGCTCCTCCTCAGAGCTGCAATTTGTCAAGCTTCCGCCTCACAGAGCAGCCCTCTCCCACTCAAATCCTTCAGACTAGCCAGCAACAATTAGCAAACATCTTCTGAGCTCATTATAGGAGCCACTTCTCAGTGCAACACCGGTAAAAACGTTGTTAAAGGTCTAACAAAGGAGCGATGTTGTGATGGCTTCCTGAAGGCAGAGTTTCAGAAAGAGCAGGAAACAAGGCGTTAAATTACGAAGTCAAATTTCTTTCATGTCATATTTGACATGTATAGAATTTTTTTATATCGTGAAGATAACACTTACTTGATTATGCTATAAAATAGGACTATGTGCCTGGAAAACATTTAAAGTTTGCACAGTTGCAATCAGAGTTTTGCTGGTTTAAGCATCATGTAGATTTAAAACATTGACATGTTGCTGATAGAATTTGCAGATGTGGCAGAGAGCAAAAACGTACAGTAAATATCAATAATATTCTGACTGAATGTAAGCACCGCTGTAACGGGACTACTTTGAGTGAAGGGTATTATTAAGGGTCATTATTTCAGTGTTGCCCTTTTTTAAACTGACACCCAGAATTTCAAATCAAAGCTTAAAATTTTGCAAACTCTCTGACTTTTCAAAGAAAAGAAAAAACACACACAGACACGTCGACTCAGATTACGACACACATGCAGTGAAGTCCCCGGAGTGGATTTGGCCAGAAAGAACACTTTTTGTGCAGATCAATTCTCCGCAGCCACTCAGTCCGACCACACAAAGCGAGAAAGTGGCCTTGGTCAATAGAAGCCCTTTTATTTGGGGGGAAAGTGAAACGGACACACACACACAGGCACTTTTTAGCGCAACCGTGTGCACTCGCACAGAGTCGCTACCTCGCATGTTTCCACCCGTTCAGCCTCTTTGATTATATTTAGTGTTGTGAGATTGGCACAGAGTCCATGTGCGGCAGATTGTTCTCACTCTGCATGAGGACAAATTCACCGAGGCAAAAGACCTTTTAGGACTTCATGGAGTAAAAGACAAAAAAAGAAATGTCAAAAGCTAACCAGTATAACTGGGCTTACCAGCACAGGCATAAAATGTGTTAAAAATCAATTTCCACAAGTTTGTACCAAAAGCGACGTTGACTTAAATTGCTCGTTTTAGCTCTACCTTATCTCAGTTTTTTATCGGTATTAAGGATCATCATGGCTCACCTCCTTCTTAGACTTGTACAGGTCTAGAGTTGGGGGGCGTAGCATCTCTGCAGACCCCACACATCCTGGACATCAGCCGTTTGGGCTGTCTGTAATAGAAACAGACAGTTTCTTCCCCCAGGCTGTCTCTCTGATGAACACTTCACAGCCTGAGTAATCACCTGCTCTGCTGCTGATCAGAAGACGCGCATTTTCACAGCAACAATCTACTCATGTTTCTCTCTTTTCCTTATGTAATAAATTGGCTGGGGAATTGCACTTACGCACCTTTTCTCCTTTGTTTTGTTTCCATTAAAGTTCATGTGTCTATTCATGTGTGTAGCACGCTGTGAGCGTTTGAAACCAAAGTGAAAAACATTTTTATGTGCGCACAACTCTGGCCAGTAATTCTGACGCTTCCCCTCTCGATTGTCATTTCATGCGGCCAAGGCAGGTGTGAAGTAAAATCTGCCACACACTCTGTGGCGTCACATGAAATAATGCTGCGGATATTGTCAAATTAGATTTAAAGAATCCTGAACGAGGAGAAAGAGGGAGAATATCACCAGGTGAATTGTTGAATGTGTTGAAAGGTTTCTGCCAAAGAAGACTGGATGTTATTGTAAAATTAAACTAAAAGCTGCTCCAACAAAGTTCAAGTTAAGTGTCAGACTTTTTTGGGTGGAACTAGCCCCGCCTTCAAGGCACGGCTCCTCCTCGGAGCTGCAGCGTCCAAGCTTCTGAGGTTCCACCTCACAGAGTGCCCTCCCCCGTCTGTCCCCCGACTCGGTTCCTTCAGACTAGCCAGCAGCAATTAGCAAACACCTGGTGGAGCTGCACGTCTGCTGAGCTCATTATAGGAGCTGCTTCTCAGTGAAACTGGCATAAATGTTGTTAAAGGGTTAATAGAGGAGACATGTTGTGATGACTTCCTGAGTTTGAGAAAGAGCAGGAGATTTTAAAGAGACAGAGGCCCAATTTTATGGTGTTAAAAGAAGTTTTACTTTCTAACTTGTCATATTGTATATTTAAAGCATTTTTGTATCAACTGAAGGGAACATTGATTGTGCTATAAAATGGTATTATACGCCTGAAAAGGGTCAGTATTATGTTGATTTATCAAGTTGATTTATCATGGTCTATTTTCTTTTATTTTTTTTACATAAAAAAATCAAGTCATCTAACAGTTTGTAGACACCTCAGTTGTCAAACTCACATATTTTAACTCAAGTGAAATGGATGCACATTGGTCATGTAATATGATATTGTCATATTACATGACAATATCACCACCTCCCTTAAATAATACAGTTTTTGTCAGAAATATTGCCCAATATTTTATTCCCACAATTGTTTATTTGAGAAAGAAACAAACCTACATATCAGAATGCCTTTCATTTCTCATCATATTTTGTTTTTTCTCCTCTGTCTCCGGCTTCATCCCTCCTCCCCCGTTTTCTCCGCTGTTTCCCTTTTCCATTTGTCTATCTCTCTCTCTCGCTCTCTCTCCCTGCCTCAGTGACTTTCTGTATCTTGCTCTCATTCTTCACTTGACTGTGCTGCTGCTGATAGCCCATATATTAACTCCCACCGTGAGTCACACATTATTGCACTGTAAATATTGCTCTTAAGACTCCTGATAAGCACCCTGCGCCTGATCTGAGGGGGCTGCATGCTCTGCATGTCCTGTAATCTGACACACCTGTCATTACTCGCACAGGCAGAGAGCTAAGATATGAGTCCGTTTGTGGAAACACTATGGAACTGTGAAAGAAATAAAAAATCTGAATAACAATAATAATAAAAAAGAAAACCATAAAGATGTGAATTCCGAATGGCGAGTACCTGAGAGTAATTCAAAGAAACAGGAGTGAACACAAAACACTCGCACAAGATGAAATGATGTAACACTTTGCAAACGCCATCTGATGCCATCGTCAGCTTTGTGTTTGTGTTTTGTGAAAGCAGCACAACTGCAGGGCTGAACGTGTTAGATCTTAAATAAAAATAAATAAATAAATAAAAAATGCATCCAATTCGCCTCCAGCAGTGACCTGCAGAAGTGAGTATTCAAGTTTTACTAATATGGGAACATCATGATGTTCTGACTACATAAAGAATCACTAGAATCAGTAAAAGAATGAGGTATTTTGCTGCAATACTTATAAATAGTTAGAAGTCATAACTCCACCCTTTTTAAAAAAAAATATATGTCTATACTTCTACCCACTACTTTGAAAATGTATCATTTATTGCACTTTATTTGTAAATCATTTGTGCTCTCAATGCCCAAAGCATTTGAAACTACAAACAGGCTGTTTAATGTAAACGCTGAACGGCTTCAACGCTCCTCGGACCTGGAGCACGCTTCCAGAAAACTGCAAAACAGCCGAAACGCTGATTTCACAGTGGGCAAAAACAACACTGAAACATTTCCTCAAGTCAAGTCTGGATGGAATTGCCACGCCGCTTTCAGAGAAGAAATTATCTGGCTAAAGTTAAAATTGTGGATGTCATGAAACTGGAGTTTGGAACCAAACAGGGGGAGGAAAACCTGCAAGAGACTCCAGGCTGGGTTGAAGGTTCCTAAAACAGGCGGTCAGAGCTACAGGGGAGAAATTTCGACCAAACCTGTTGGAAAAGTACATACCTAAATCTCATTGAGACTTAGAAATGATGTTTTAAACCCCAAAATTCTCTTCATCCAGTAAGTCTGAAATAGAAAAGAAAAGGCAGATATTTTAACACTAGTTATGCTGACAGAGGCGCAATGTGATTCTCTTCAATGGACTGACTAAAGAGGACAGAGTGAATAAGTTTTGACTGAGTAAAACCTAATGAATACAGATACTGAAAGATGATTTTTATTTTATTTTTTTTTCAGACTTCCCACACTCTGTTTAAAGGATATGGACTGCAGACCATGCGGATGCAGAGGCTGCGTGGGCAGGTTGTCTGCTTCAGACAGAAGAAGACCACAGGCACCAGCTCAGGATAGGGAACGACCAGCACACTGGTGTCGCTGCTGCCGTCGCCATCATCCTCGCCGTCGTCCTCGCGCTCCTCCACCACCTTCAGCTCCTTTTCTTCTTCTTCGAGCCTCTCTTCCCGAATGATGCCCTTCTCTTCCTCTTCTGCCTCCTTTTCCTGGGGACAGACGCGGTAGCGAGGAGAGGGCCTGCAGGGGGGCGAGGACGAAACGACACCATCTCTGCCTTTGGCTGCGGCCGGTGCCGTCCTGGCGGCTGACTGCGTGGACGCTGATGCTGCAACACCGGGGCCCTCCTCCTCCTCACTCATGGCAACCTAAGAGTCTGGGATGAGAGAGAGACGGAGAGCGAGCTTTTAAACAAAACTTTTATTTTAGAGGCGGCTCTTGTGGACAACGGGAAAACACCTCCGAAAAAACAAAACCAGAAATGAGAAACGACAACAACGTGGGTAAGAAAAATGATTTCGAAGAGGTGGCATCAGGAACAGCAGTTTTGAAGATGCTCTGACCGGTTTGACCATCACAATGTGGCGTCAATAAAAGTTGCTTGAACTTCACGGTTCTGCTTGTCACACCTCAGCTTTGAGGTCAAAATGATCACTAGCCCCTAAATGTATCCAGACCGTCAAAGTACATAATGTCATTACTAGTAGTTATTTTAACTTCCCTTCATATCATGTTCTCCTATGACTAACACAGTATGGTAAGCTACTTTTAAGGCAAAGATAAATAGAACCACAAACACACAAATGAGTACAAAAGAACAACATGATTCCCGCCAGTTCCCCAGAAAACAATACGATCCATTTTATATTGACTCAAAAATATGTTAGAAATTCAATATTTTAGGTGTTCTGACTTCAAGTTATCAAAAGCAAAGGATCACCAATGAGACCAGAGGGAGAAAAGCGAGTTATAAGAGAGTCAGAATGGAGAGTTTCGTGGTTCAGTCAGAATCTTCGGCTGCTGAGAGGATTTTCAGATTGTTGAATGGAATCGATTCCGAGCGGCCGGAACAGGAACAGAGGTGGAGAAGATACTGAGCAGCAGCAGCAAAACGTGGAAAAAGAACACACTATAAGCCACTGAGTCGGAACGGCGTTAAGACAAACTTTACACTTTGGTTGTTTTAGTCATTTAATCTGATCGGACCAGTTTCTAATTGCTCAAGAGGATCACAGAGGGTTTGTGAATGATCAGTTTCCTGTTAAAGGCAAAGCAAATTGTGGTCAGGCTCAAAGAACGGCTGCAAAACAAGAAGCAAGTGAAGTCTAAATTCATCCGTTATTTTTGTTAACAATGTGTGACCGCGAGGGCGCGACGCCACAAACTTAAAGCGTTAGAGACGGTCAAAGATTTCCTCAAGAAACTGTGGAAGGTGTTGCTTTTTAATAACATGCTAAAGGTACAAGGTCAAGAAATCATAACTATTAGCAAAACAAAGGAGAAATCTCCAAAGACAAACTGGGATAAATGCTTTCATTGATGCGGTTGGAGAGCCACACTCAGGATCCATGTACAGAAGCTGCAACCATTTACTGCCACATAAGCAGGTTTATTTTATGTTTTTGAACAGCTGTCAGATTTCTGTTCTCATGCTCTGTTGGAAATAAAAAAAACAACAACTCCGTCCTCCTCAGACGGATGTTTCAAAGGAAATTTAACACCAAGATGACAGAAAGAAAAATCCCAGCTGGTCTGCTGCGACTTTCCATCCCTCCCCATTTGTTTAAGGCCTTCAGCCAACCAGTCGGAGTCGATGAAAGTTGTCTCAAAATGCCCGATGGAGACGTAATGTAGATCGTTATGACCAAATGCACGGCCTATGCATCCTGTTTATTGTCCATTTGGCTGTCTTATGTGTAAAGCTGATTTTTGTTGGGTTTTTTTTTTTTTTTTTAGAATGTGGCGCTTGCTGACTAAAGGTTTCAAGCTTTGCTTTTTGTTGAAGTGGCCATTTTGATAGAATAGTGGAGGTAAATTAACACTGTTTGGTGGGGTTTTTTTTTCTGTGTGTATTATTTACCAGTTGTGTTGCAGTTTGACACAACTTGTAGTCACCAACCGTTGCCAGGTGACGACGGACAACATCTCGTTTGATTGTTTGCCACCGTTACAGCAGCACATGTCATGTCGACTCTAAGCAGCCATACACTCAATAATTGTCATAACATTGCGAGTTCAATTTGCATGATCATTTTCCTTCTGTAAACTACAAGTTATTTGGAGTACATTGAGATACAATTTAAGAATGTTTTCTTCCAGTAACATGTCACACAATGGCAAAGGCCGATGACAAAGTTTGGATGGTTGTTATTTTTCGACCCTCTGGGTGGTGATGGGTATTATTTAAAGGGGCGGTGTAATGTGAATTCTCCTTTTTAAATCATTTACCTCCTGTGGGTTTAAGCAAATGCCAAGAAGAGCAAAAGTAGACAATTTCAAAGATCTTGAGCCACTAGAAATTTATAATTATAAAACAGGAAGCCTCTGGAATTATTCAGGCTGCAATCATTTTGTCAGAATAACATTAAAGACCCAACATCAGAGTTATTAACCTCAACAGAAGGTTAACCAAACACTGAATCCATGGGCCAGAGCTTCCGTTCATCCGTCTGAAACTACTCAAGCACCGCGACTTCAATCACCCTCAGGTTATGGAAAGATATTATATTGTCTGGTCTTTGTTATTTTTAAACAAATGACAGCAGATTTCTGAAAAGACAATAAAAAAAAAAAAAAAAAACATGAATTTAAACGACTAAGCAGAGAAGATGACTGTCTCACAGTCACAGGACGACTGCGACCTGTGACCTGGAAAACTAATGACTGTTTCTTATGGACGTCTGGGTCCACACAGCTGGCAGTGAACTCATGCTTCATGTTACTGAATTACAATTTGGAATATTTGCTTTAGTTCTACTGGGACGGACGGACAGGAGCTGCTTAAATAATGTTCATCCCTCGTTGTGCAAGAACAAAGACATCTCCTTTTGTGTTCCATGTATGGGGAGAAATAAACGGCAAAACTATGCTAGGTTACAATATCTAGGCATAAGCAGTGGCACATAATGTTCTTCCAGTGAACCGTTGCTGTGCTCTTCTCTGTGTCCTGCAGAGTGCAGGTCATTTTCTACCATGGATTCAACGTTGCTGCAGTATGTTAAAAAAAAAAAAAAACATTTTCCAATTTAGGAAAATTACATTCTTGTTTTATTGTAAAAAGCAGAAAGTACATAGAAGTATCAAAAAGTCAGATTTGATTCTATTTGTTGTTTATTGATATTATACTTTTTTAGTCCATTCAGCATGGATTTCTGCATCGGATCAGAACCGCCCGATACTAAACCTCAGATATCGGAATCGGAATTGGAAAAAGAAGAGGATCAGCAAGAAACAGCGCTCTGGGAAAACACTTTCAAAGCACAGAGTGTAAGAAAATAAACAGAAATGCATTAAAGAGGTCAATCAACGACACACCACAAAAAAATTGTGATAACTCATATCAGCTCAAGAAAAAAAAAGAGAAGAAATTACTACTTTACAGGCAGAGAAATAAAAACACAGCCTCTGCTGGATGTGAGCTCTCATCATTGGTGCTAAAAAGATAACGTCACACCGTATACTCCCTACTGAAGCTTTCACAGAGCAAATGACCTGATTACACATAATATTCACAGCCAATTAGGCATGATGGCAGGCAAAAGGATTTCAACTGTTTAGCATAGTTAGCTTAGCTACAGACCACTGTTTGCCTCCATTTCACTAGCATTGAATGAATTAAGGGAAAAAATTACCAAGATATTCATATATTTAACTTGTACCTTTTACCACTTAACAACAGATGAGTCAGTCAGCAGCCTGAGCCCACATCCCTCCTGACCCGTCCTCTACTAATTGGAATTAAAGCTGCACTATGCCAATTTCTTTATAAACTTATTTTTCACACATTTGTAAAAACTATTACTATGTTGTGACAGTACGGCATGAGAGATAATCTGTGAAAAATCTATTTCCTCTGCCTTCTCCCAGTTCTCTCTAGAAGCAACCAATCAGTGGCAGGAGAGTTTTAATGCTGTCAATCACAATCTCATATGGCTGCTCATCCCTATGCTGCAGCTAGCATAGCCTGTTGTGAATGCTTCGTCTAGTTAGCATAGCTACCAGTGATAGCAGACAAACATTTTTCCAGTGATGATAAGTTGTTTCTCCATCATTAGCACATTTAGCAGTGTGTGAATGAGGATGATTGACAGCACTAAGACCCTTCTCCTTGTTCTGATTGGTTGTTTTGGTCAGAGCTTTGCATTACTTATCTAGCAATAGAAACTCAGAAAAGATGTGGAGGAGATTGATGTTTTCACAGATCACCTGTCTCATAACAAACTGTCACGACACGGTGACAGCTTTAACAAATATGGAGAAAACATCTTTGTTATGAAAGTTTTATTCTGCAGCTTGAATAAAATGCAACTACATAGCATTTTTTGAGAAGCCTGGGTTGCTTCATGTATATTTTGCATGTTGCCTTTGACTGTTGCTCATGGGGAGAGACATTTCAGTTATCTAAATCTATAGAAAACATTTAAGCAACCTGCTTGCAAACTCTATGTGGACTGTTGGATGTAAAATTCATGAGCAGTAGATATTGTGCTAGTTATCAGTATTGGACCAAAGAAAGCAAGGAAGTTGCAAGCCTTTAAAATTGTGACGCTTCTGATGAGTCAGATAGACTGAAGAAATTGTAACAGCAGCTGCGAGGGGGAAGAGGTGCGGGGGGGAGGGGTCTAATTTTTTGTCAGGGGGCCCAAGATTCCTGGCGCCGCCCCTGGTGGCAGGTATCAGTTACCATGAAATGCATTGACCACAGAAGTCAAACACAGTGATACACCCACACAGCTTACACCATCAAAACAACAGAGTCAGAGGCTAACAGTTGGCTGCTCTGATGCGACACACATCCTCATTAGTAGACGTGCTGGAGGCTTAATGGCCTGCAGCCTCACCGCCGCACAGCTACACACAAACCACAAACGCAAAGGTACTGCTTTTCTTTACGATCCCAAATTATTTTTCACTTGCATCGCCTTAAAGATAGAATCGAAATAAGCCAAACGTATTTATTGAATATGATAGACACTCGTTAGGACTGAATCACGTCAGCGGCCCCTCGCCGCCCTCCCTGGTCAGGCGTATTTACATCCAAGCACAGGGCGCCGAAAAGCAAACGGCAGTCTAATAATGGCGTAGGCAGCCCTAGATGAAAAGCTTTAAGTAGGCCCCCCACTTTCTGACATTTCCTTCAGCCTTTGGCTCGTTGCG